TTTGTGTATAAATAGAACTGTTGTATGTGGAGAAAATCAAGAACTTGAAGAGAAAATTTTCTGTGAGCTCCAAAATTCTGAGTATATTGTATTCTGTTCTTTCACTTTCAAATCTAAGTCTAGCATTTGTTCTTACACTTTGATATCTACTATTTGTGAGAGAATTATTGTAAAAGAGGGTTTAAGTACCACTTATTCTTATTCCTTATTTTTGTGAGAGATTTTGTAAGGGTAGACATTTATTGTTGAGTAAGACTCAATAGATAAGAGTAAGTCCTGTGCCAAATCTACAAGCTTGGTGGTGTATTTATTCAATTAATAGTAAAGAAATTCTCAAAGAGGTTCCTTGGGGAGTGGACGTAGGCCTGACACTATAATTGCAATGTTTGATTTTCTCTCCCTATCTCTTTTACTTTTATATTGATAATTATTTTTTATTTATTTATTAGAATTCTGAATATTGTGTTAATTTTAATATTGTGAAATTTTTAATAACCCAATTCACCCCCCTCTTGGGTTGCCTATCTGGGATAACAATGGTACTTCTACTTCACGGGTGAGACCTTCACGAGTGCAATTGATAGTGAAATGAACAGGTGAGGTACAATAATGAAGGTGAAGACAACGGTATAGGTTCACGGATTTTTCATAAAAGTAATAAAATTTAACAAATAAAAAAATGTTTATGTAGCATTTGGTAACGTTTATATTTTTGGTTTCTATTTATAAAATTTTTAGTAATTAGTTTTTATTTATTTTTAAAAAAATATAAATTACAAACGCATTTGGTTTGAACATAATATTTATTGTCTAAATTTAACACACATAAACAAAAAATTATGTTTAATCAGGTCTAAAATATTTAGATTTATTTTTTATTATTTTATGACAATGGAATCATACACATTTTAATTGAAAAAAATTAATTATAAAAATAAATTGAAAAACATTAATTGAAAAAAAATAAATTGAAAAAAAATAATTGCAATAAAAATTATTTCAAAAAACATTATTTGGAAAAAAAAGTAATTGGAAAAAAAATTAATTGAAAAAAAATTATTTAAAAAAATTATTTGAAAAAAAAATTAATTGAAAAAAATTATTAATTCATTTTTTTGAATTGAATTTAAAAAAAAGTTCGGCTATGAATGTTGATAAAAAATTTCAATCGAGTTTTGAGTTGTATGTTTGATTATGATTTATAATTTCTTGAATTAAGTTTTGAAAATGCATAAAAAACTCATAACCAAACAAAAAATTTTATTTCACATGTCACATCAAACTTTCAAAATTCAATTCCACACTCAATTCAATAGTCTATTCAAAAACTATAACCAAACAAATTTTCTACGCTCAAATCATAATTCCAAAACTCATAAACTCAAGATATAACTCTATTTTCAAATTATATTTAGAAAACTCTACCAAACGCTACCTAAGATGATCCAACGTCGATTTTGAGAGAGTTTAAATTTAGTAGACTCAGTTTAGAATTTAATTTGATGATCTAAATTATTTACTTTTTAGGAATCATTGAGTAAAATATTTGTGTAAAAAATTAAGAAGATGAATATCGATAGATATATGTTTAAATCACATATATTTTAAAAAATAGACAACAATTATAATTTAAAAAATATTTCATTTTTTTTAATACAAATGTGATTTATATATGAAAATTCTAATAAAAATGATATATTATATACACTCCTAATTATGCCATTTTCTTTTTTAATTAAGATTAATTTTCTTATTTAATTATAACATTATTTTAGTTATGACTCATAAGTTCTTTAATTATACCTCATGTTATATTTAATTATGACATTTTTTTTTGAAGTTATGATTCCGAAAATTGAAATTATGCTTCTTTTTTATTTTTTTATAGTTATAAAGTGCATAATGCACACTCTTTGAAAGGAGATGAGGTTTTGTAATTCGTTTTGATAATCCAAACAGTTCATATTTTATAATACATTGAGTAGAACTTGTGAAAAATGAAGTTGATGGGACATCGTTAACCATTTTATCGAATGGCATTTGTAGCTACAAAAATAAATGACAATTGTGATTTGAAGTCTAAAAATGAATAAAATTTTGAGTAGATGAAAGGGTTAAAGATATATGATTAATTTAAGTTTTTATAAGTATATTCTATACTCTATGTATTCTAAAATGTGAACGATTTTGATTATCAAAACGGGTCTCGAAATGAGCTAATTTGGCTGCACAACAGTGCGTATTGTGCTAGGTGCACAGTAGGGACCCCGGTTCCCCATTTGAAGGGTATGCACTATAGTGTTTCACTTTATATATATAGGTATTTATATTTGATCATTTTAATTTTTTACACAAATATTCTATTCAATAAGTTCTAAAAAATAAATGGTTCACATTATCTTCAAAATAAACCCATCAAATCCAAGCACCCTCCAATTAAGATGGCCAAATTAAAAAAGGTAAAAAAAAATTGTAACTATAAAGAAAAATAGCATAGTTTCAATTTTCTAAATTATAACAAAAAAAAATATATCATTACTAAAAATAATATGAGACATAATTAAAATAATATCAAATTTAGAAAAAAAATAAAAATTAACCATATCTAGTACATCATTTTTTGTAAGGAAGTGTATATTAGAATTTCCTTTTAAAAAAATACAAACCCTCAATGTTTCTATAAATTACAACACTGTTACTTCATCAGTTTCCTCCATAGATGTTCGTCCATTTTCTCCTCCGTTTTAAGCTTTACACAAACAAACCCAACAACAACAATGAACAACCAAATCTTACAACTAAACACTTCATTCTCTACAATTCCCAATATGTTTCTCTTCAAACCCACCAACAATTCCCTCCTTCTCAACGAATTCCCTCACCTGTACTCACAACACCGTCTTTCCGCTTCCGCTTCCGCTCCCTCATTCCGTCCGGTACCACCATCCCCAAGTCCCGTACCGGCCGATACACCGTGTGATGTTTCGGTTTCGGACAGTGATTTTGAACCCGAAACCCCTCTGGTTCTCGAAGGAATCGCTGCAGTTGTAGGCCAACAAGTCCTGTATGAAGAAAATCCAAAAAAGAAAAATGTAGCGGAGGCGTAGAGAAGAAGAGTGTAGCGGTGGGGGTGAAGAAGAAGAAGAAGAAGAAGGAGAAGACTAAAGTGTCTACGGCTGCGGCTGCGGTGAGTTCAGTAGGTCAGTTATTCAGTTGGAGTAGTATAAACTGATGGGGATTTGTGTGCATTTCTGGTAGGTGGTGTGCATGCATGAACTTGCATGGAAGAAGCACTGGCTTTTGTGGTTGTATTTAGATGTTTGTTAGTTATGGCACAAGTCCAAGCCTGAGCCTTAGTGGGATGAGTCGGATACATGGTCAGGTGCACTTCTTATGTGTGTACATTATTTATTATTAAATTTTTATTGGAGTTGAAATTTTTTTTTAGTGAAATGTATGTGTATTTAGACGTATATTTGAGAGTGGGATAAGTTAAATAAAGTAGTTATTAATACTATGATTGAATAATGATATCATGCGTCAACATACCATTTATATTGAATATTTGCTCGAGCTAGGGTGATAAAAGTTTATGAGAAAAAGTTTTAATAGACCTAATTCGATTATAAAATTTGGCACTATTCTCTTATATACAATGAGAAACACAAGTCTCTTATCTAATATAATAGAATTTTATTTAATTTTATGATTGAATTTTGAGAAAAGTTAGGGATCATGAAAGATTTATGATTTTTAAATTACCTTGATTAATGTGTAGTGCTTTATTCTAAGTATAATCTGAGGACTACAAAATTTTCATTGTTAGGTTTTATTTCTTGGCAAACCCGTTTGACAAAGATTGTTATATTCTGCTTAAAATTGATACATAATCACAAATCAACATCTAGGAGATTTTGATTATTTTTATGAAAAAATTTTCATGATACCTAACATTGTTGTTAAATTTTATGCATGTATAAAAGTCTCTCATCCAACGTAAAAAAATTATATCTAATTCTATTATTAAATTTTGTGCACATACGGAACAACCCAAGCATAGATTGTAGAAGATGACATTACGGTAATAAATCTTATGTTGACTCTCTCTCTCACAGTACAGTGTGTTCATATGTGTTGGATTTGAAGTGCAGGCAATGGAGAAAAGTAGGTGTTTAGGGGTTTTTTTTTTTTTTTTTTTTTGTGACTATGGATTTTTTACTTTTTCAATAATTTTTTGGATTAACAATCCAGTGAATTTCACATGTTCCATCCACATTCAATCCATTTTTTAATACCTCAATAAAACGTGCCCCATCTGTAGATTATTCAGAAAATATATTAATTTTGTAATCCCGTCTTTGTCAACTACTTTCTATCAAATTATGGTCACATGAATTGCAGAATAATCAATTTCAGACCAAAGGGTTGGCTAAAGAATGAATGTATTGTTTTCTTACTGAATGTGATGCCTAGATTTGAGTCTCACTACTGTATAATACAGTTCTTTTCAAGCTTATAATTGCAGAAGTTAGAAAAGATCAGATGCACGTAGACTTCAACCAGATATGAAGAGTATGACAAAAGCATAACCTTACACCTGTCCTCAAAATTTTATTGAAACAAGGCACAATCAATTTATAGTCACCATTCCCTGCTGCATTATCAAAATTCCACCAAACATTTTGCACCATCCACAGCAATTTCGATGCACCATCGCACCACTTATAACAATTCACTGTACTTATCTCAATAACAACAATGATGACATTTACATTACTACTACTACTACTACTACTACTACTAGTGGGGATGAGGTATCCTCAGCAAAGGGGGTGTGATAATTTCACATCACCAAGTTGAGCCAAGACGCCCACCAAACACTGTCAAAGCTCTCAGGCTTTCAGGCAAGTGATTCAAAGGTTCATTACCCCTCTTCTTGCATTCACAAGGCCAAATTTTGTACAAAAATATGAAACGTCAAAGCAAGCAAGCAAGCGTGGTACAAAAAAAGTAACGAAGGAAACTAAAATAGTTGTTAACGAAAGGTACCCAACATCTGATCATCTATGTAAATATTATACAACTTTAACTGTAAATTACTCCTCGAAAAGGGACTAGAAGGAATGAGGATGCGACTCATCTAATAGGTTAAATAGGATATCTAAGCTACCCTCAGTACCTCCATGAGTGAAAAGACAGAAAAAAAAAACACTTCACTTTCTGTTCAGGAAGCGGTAAAGGTAAAGTTGTTCTTTTGTAATTACAGTTTAAACAGTTCACCCTACAACAAGGTCAGCACTTATTCAACTATACTGCTATTCATCTGGAAAATTGGTTATGAGTATATGCTTGATCAGTCTTAGTTAACTCCAAGTAAGGCCTCGGAGTTTGCATCCTCAAGAGAGAGATTTAGATCAGGAACAACAAAATTATTCTCCCAATTCATTGCCTCCTGCTGCAGCTTGGATGAACCATTCAGCATAGCAGGTTGTTGCTCAGCATCATGGTTATCAATTTTTACATCTGGTGGCAAGATTGAAGGAATTGGGTCACAAAATGCTGCTGCTATTTGCTGTATTTGATTGGGGATTGCTTCTTCAGATGCAACTGTTGCAACTCCTTTCACCGCCGAATGTGATGCCAAATCGAGCTGTAATAGAAGTATTCAATGCAGTGACTTAGATGTTAATTCGTAAAACAGTGAACAACGGCAGATGGAAATACTTTTAGTTGAATGGGAAGAAACCACATTGATTGTATGGAATGCGCAAATGTTTTGCAGCAGAAAAGCTGAGGGACAAAGCCAAAGCTTCTTTCTCAGTTATTGCTGACCCAAAATACTAACAACCAACTAGGGCTAGCTCAGGTAGCCTGAATCCATGCACCTTGCCACGAGATCAAGCATTCAAGTCTTATCACAGAGCATAACTAATCGTTGCCTGAACATCCTAAGATACAGACCCCCCAACTCAAGTGTGTGTCATGTCAGAGCAATCAGTAGAACACATATATATACACGCTAACATGACAGGGTAATGCTACAATACATACCCCTCAAAAAGAAGCGTACCATATGCAAGTTACGACTCTTTGTGCTGATGACTAGAGCAATTAGTAGAACATATATATATACACACACTAACATAACAGGGTAATGCTAAAATGCACACCCTTAAAAGGGGTTTACCATATGCAAGTTATGATACTTTTCTAGTGTTAATACCACAAAGTGTCATAACTAAATCACTTTCTATTATAATTTAATAGATCATAACCAAAGACTTCTTTTGTCATAACTAAAATTACAACCACAATAGATCATAATTAAGTCATTACTACCACCATAATGAGTCATAACCAAGTCACAACCAATATAATGGGTCATAACCAAAGGCCACAAAGGTTATAACTGGGGCATATGATTAACACTTTTTTCAAGCTATGTATCATAGAATTTCCCATATATATCCTTATATTTGTTTCCACTGATACAAAAATTGTCACATGCATGATCCTTACTTTAACTACATGCAACATGTGATATCTGTCCGAACAAAAAATGGTCTAAGAAGACAAGATAATGCATCTTATTAGGGACTACTAGTTTGATATTATTCTTTTGATTACTTCAATGATCATTCATTTTGATGACTCGAATTAAAACTACAGAAATAATCAAGCAGAGGAAGCATTAAGTCCACTTATATATCTATAGGAAAATGCTATACATACATGAATTTCTTACCTGAGGTCACATTAATAAATACATATCAGACCTGTGCCCAACAGTGGCAGATGCAGAAATACTGTTAAAAGGAGGCCAAACCATATACGCAAACTACAAAATTTATTTTATCACATTTTTACTGAAGTTTTGTATGTATGTTTGTACCAAAATATTTACTTTTACAAGCATAAAAATTAAACATTATCATTAAATTTGTAAATAAAATTTTCAATCAATAGACATTTACAAGACAAAAAGTATCAAGAAAAGAGTTTATAAAATATTTTACAAAAAAAAAAAAAAAAAAAAAAACAAAAACAAAAAAAAAAAAAAAAAAACAAAACAAAAACAAAAACAAAAACAAAACAAAACAACAAAAGATCAAACTATAATAACAAATATGATATAAGCACTTTTTCCACATTGATCACTGTTACATTGAGTCGTAATTAACATCAATTATATCCATAACCGAAGATCATTTTGATTGCAATCAAAACCACCATAATGATTCGTAATGCACATCACTTTGAAACATAATTAAACATCATAATAGGATGTAACTATTTATTATTTATAACTAACATTAATTTACACTAAAATTTAACTATGGTATATATAATGTGTATTATAACATGACTTTAGCTAAAGGCTTCAAATAAATTGAAACTTAGTGGGGGAAAATGTTAGGACTTGGGGGGGACATTTACAAACAAATATAGTATATAAATTAGTATTTTTGAAATAGATGCAGGGGCCATGGGGTCCCCCCAGCCACCCCCTGCATCTGCCATGCCTTTGTATCTAATGGTAAGAAAATTGAATGAGAAATCCATTTATGTATAACATTAATCTTATCTGTATATGCAAATAAACCACATAAACAAAAAAGGAAAGAAGAGAAAACCTAGGAACCATTTGTGAACTAATTCTATTTTGAAACTTTTATTTGTCAGGAGCCTACCGTTTAGCTTCATTTGGCAATTAATTTACAAATTTAAACCAAAAACTATAGTAGTTAACAAAATATTTTGAAATTTTGCTTTTGATTGCGTACCTTCTTCACATAACATTGTAACACTTAGCTATTTGAGAAAAGTCATTTGATGGATCAGAATACGAAAATGAACTTGTGTTTACCGTTGGATAGTTGATGCTTGATAATTTATAAGACGGGTCAGACAGTACACTGTGATCTAAGTAAAACATCTGATGTTCTTGCTATGTACCAAAGGAAAAAGAAAAAGAAAAAATCCAAGATCATTTTTGATTGCTTGGTCAAGTTTATTGACAAAAGCAATATATGATCATGGTACTATTTAGCATCCTACAACACACTAAAATTTAAGGGTAGAGGACGAGTCATCACAGAGCCATGTGCTCTTCTCTTCACAGCCACAAAAGCCTAAAGGTGGCAAACTGAAGAGAAGAAAAATTGGTGAGTCATCTCCGTCAAGGGTTCTATATATGGGGTTGGTTCCTGCCTTCTCTGACAAATTTCTGAAGATACCACTTACCAAGCCCCATAGAAAAAAATGATAAGGTAGAAGAAGACTTGGTTCATGAGACAGACATGGCAAACAGCAAGTAATTTAATTTAATCAGAGGACAGACAATTTATAGATATCTATAACGTAATCGTCTATCAGCCAACCCTCCAAAAACAATTCCTTTGTGTACCAAAATAGGCATCTCTTCAGCATACCATAGTCCAAATAGAAAACTCATAGCAATGCTTGAACTAGTCAGGATCCCAATTCAGACAATACTAACGAAAAAAGTTGAACAGCCAAAAGTTAATTCATGCAACCATTTATGCACGTGCTTACTAAAAATGGACTAGATGACGTTAAGGAATGATATTTCTCCATTAATGAGTATTCATGATGTTTTGACTACCTCTGTGAGGCTGAAATGATATGCTATATGGCTGCCAGTCTGTTAAAAGGTCACAAAGTGTCAAATTCAGAATCTATAAACATTGATATCCAAATCACTATTTACTTTTACGACATGGTTGACATATCCAATGCTTAATGTGGATGGAAAGGGCGAATTGTCTGAGGAGTGCCCTCTATGAAGATGGTAGGCAGTAGTATGGTTGGGGACAACCAGTGGTAGGAGATGAGAGAACCTAGGACTGCCACTAGTAGAGAGTATGATTGATCAAATACCCGGCAGGACCAACAAACCTGTCCGACCCGAACACTAATGTTCGATTTTGAGTTTTACTTCAGTCAGCTGCAGGTAAAGCAGGTCAATTTTCACGAGTTAATGGTTGGGTGACAGGTTTTGGTTCAAAACACCCGCGCATCACCCAACCTGATCGATATGATATATTTAATACATCATCTCCACATGTCTTATTTTTATTAGTGCTCGCATATTACATTTCTCCTAACCTAGGGTTGTTCACAAACTGTATCTCTTCACATTAACAAAGAATTGTACCTCTCTCTCTCACTCTTCCATTAATATGTCTCTCTTCCACGACACTCAGTACGGTGTCTCTCTCACACACTCTTCGATTTACCTCCCAAAAAACAAACCCCGTCCCTCTTCAATCCCCCCCAGGATGATTCTCCAATCTCCCTCCCAAAAACTTTAATGGTGTTTGTAGGTAATCGACTATGGTAGATCGACAGTGGCAAACGATGACGTTGGCATTGACCCACGGTGGTGGTGGCACTAATCAATGGCAATGGCGTTGAACGATGGTGAGTCTCCCATCTCTCTTTTGTCCCTTTATGTTTCTCTTTGAGATCTATATGCATGTTTGAATCACATTTGTTTCAATATCTCTACTCTCTCTTGAATTTGAACCCCCAACTCTCTCATTTGTATGTATGTTTGAATCAAAATCACAATTTGAATTGTGCATCCAACACCAACCGAGCTGAACCAACGGCAAAACCAAATGGTTTGACTCAGTTGATTTCGAAAAGCAAGTTGACCGACAATAGGTGACCATTTTCCCAACCTAATGCATTCGGTTCAATTGACGGTTTGAGGGTAAACCCAATTTGAACCGATCCGTGAACACCCCTAGCAGTGACAGAGGATGGTAGAGGAGCACCAAGGAGCTGGAAAGAGAAGTAGGTGAACGAATTGCAAAAAATATGTGTATTGTATTCATCTCAACTGAGGTATATATAGAAAATCATATACAAAATCATGGCTAATTACAAGCTTAAATATATGGTGTTCGGATCCTCTGAGTGGATTCCCTCTGCGATGTTCTTGTAGTGGAACAAAACGGCGTCATTTTGTTCAAAACGACGTCGTTTTGCTTAAGAAGGAAAAAATAAATAAATAAATAAAATGAGAAAGTAAAACGAAAGACAACAAAGAGAGAGAGACCACCGTTGGTGGTGGCCACCCCTTCCCCCACCCTTCCAAAAAAAGAATAGCAAAACGAAAAGAGAGACTTGACAAGCATTTTCATCAAGTTTCAATTTTAGAACCATATGACAACAAAGAGAGAGAGAGACCACCGCTGGCCTTCCATCATCAACCCTTCTCTCGCCAGTGGTGGCCACCCTTTCCCCCACCCTTCCAAAAAAAAGAATTGCAAAATGAAAGAGAGACTTGACAAGCATCTTCATCAAGTTTCAATTTCAGAACCATCATTTAGGGAAGAGAGAGAGAGAGAGAGAGAGAGAGAGAGAGATGGAACGTGGAGGTAATGGAGGCTTCCATGGATACCGCAGACCCCACAAACATCCTCTAGTAGGTAATAAGTACAAAAAAAATTTCTCTATAATCTATCTCTTCCATAAACAAATCCTAACCCTAAACCAAAATATTTAGTTGCATTCTACATATATATATATATATATGTTAAAAAAAAAAAAAATGAAACGAAAATGAAAATAAAGAGACACCACCACTAGTCTCCATCATCAACCCCACCCTTGCCGATGGCGGCCACCCCTTCCCCCACCCTCTTTCGGTCACCCACCACAATCCCTCCCCCCTCCCACCACCCAACAAAAAAAAATAAGCAATATAGAGAGATTGTTGAGGAAGGGGTTGGGAGTGGAGGGGCACTGTCGACGAAGAGGCAAAAGGGCGATTCCGCTCTAATGGTGGCAAATGGAGGTGGAGGGGTAGGGGAAAGGATGGGGTGACCGGAGAAAGCTGGGGGATATGGTGGGTGACCAAAGACACGTAGAGAGTGACTAGCATGTCGGCGAGGGTGGGGTTGATGATGGTAGACCAACGGTTGTCTCTCTCTCTCTCTGTTGTTGTTATACCTTTTTAAAAAAAAAAAAAATTAATTTTAAGCCTTTAGTAAAACAACATCGTTTTGATAAAAGCGACGTCGTTTTGTTCCACTATAGGAACATTGAAGAGGATCCAAATGCAAATATATGCATTAAAGTCTTTCCAAAAATACAAAAGTCAAAGACAAGCTAATTATGGATGTTCTCTAACAATAGTCGATGATAACCTGCTCCTGCATGGAGCCCCCTACCCTTTATATGTGGTAGGTAGCCATCTCAATTAAGCACATGTGACGTGACCCACTTGGTTAGTGTTTTTCGATCATTGTCACCTGAATCGATAACTTCAGTTTGAAGAATATACCAATCGTACTTGTACCAACATTACTTCAAAATCGATTTCTTTTGGTTGTAGAAATCGACCAAGCTTCGGTCAATACTGCAACTCCTCCATCTTCCTCAACTTAACAAAACCATAGGGAAATGAAGAAGGGATTAGAGTTTTTAGAAAGGAAAAAGGTGAGGGTTTTGGGAAAGGAAGATCGGAGAGGGAGCAAGAAGGGGATGAGGATATTGGGGAAGGAATATTAGACAGGAAGGGATGAGATGAGGGTTTCAAAAGAGGGCGATCAAAGGGGAAGGGGATGAGGGAGATGAAAAGGATCTTTAGGAGGGGGAGGATCCCAGTGCCACCGCCACAACCATCTCTTTCACAATCACAGCACCATCTTTGTATGAGGAGATATAGAAAAGACAGAAGGTGAAAGGAGATAGAAGAAGAGAGATGAAGGCTATATGACAAAAGTGATGAGAAAGACGAGTTACTGATGTGAGTAGGGATGTTCACGGGTTGAGTCGGTTGGGTTGACACCTACCCATCACTTGAACCAAACACAATCAAGTTGGCTAATCTGTAATTGATGTCGACTGAGTACCCATCCAAAATCAACCGCTCATTAGAATCGGTTTGGCAGGTCGGTTACGGTCACTCAAGCGTGTTGGACATTATCTCCATTATGCTTCAAGTTCTCTGATCTCCATAATTTTCAGCATTCAAAATTTAACAATAAACTCACCAAAAAAATAATTCAAGAATTCAATACAATCCCTCCTTGCTAATGTAATTAAATTAAACCAAAAAAAGAAAATGAAAATGAAAATGAAAATTCATCAAATCTTAGTACATGTTTGGGATCTCCTTGAGGTTTGGATATGGAATATGGAAGATCATTGACGCCCTTGCTGATGATCCTAGTCGAGGACATCGGCGATTCTACATCTGCCATACTTTATTAGTTTTGGTGGTGATTGTCATTAGGGAGATCATTAGAGATGGAGAGGGGATGAGAAAGAATTGGATGGTACTATAGTGCAGCCTTTATGTACAATAAATCAGTCGGTCAGGTTTTATATGTTTTTTTAATGCCAGATCCAACACTCGAACAAAAAACTGCTAAAACGAACAACTTGACCTAATCGAAACCGTTTATAGAGCTTCGGGTCTGTCGGTTTTTCGAACAGCCCTAGATGTGAGAGAGAGGGAGAGAGAGAAAGGCTCGCTAATTGAAGTAACAGAGAAATAGTTTATTCATGAGAGAGAAAGAGAGAATTGAGAGAGAGACCCTTGAATGAACGGATAGCTGTCTGATCGAGAGAGTGGAATATTGAAAGATAGGGAGATATGCTCTGCAAGTGAAAGATGTAATCTCATCAACCAATGAGATTATGCCACATGTAAAACAAATTCAAATAATAAACATTTCGGCCGGTCGGGTTTGGAAGAGGTGAAATATTTTAAACCCAATATATGAATCGAGTCAAATTTTTTTATTGATGAACACTCACAGTTGATGGATATGTGAAATCAATAGTATGATTGTTTGGCGGTCTGGCAGGTCAAATGATTTTACAAACAACCCTAGTTTCTTGTCTTGGTTAAAGCCCCTCTCTATCTAAGATGGTCTGAGCCTTAGTTGCACAAAGCAGGGTGGGGACGGAGGAGCAACGATATATAGAAAATTTTAAGGTTTGGAGCACCTATGGGCATGTGTATATTTTTATATTAGCTATATAAATATCTTCTATGAAGCACCGACACTCCAAAACATATGTCATAGCGGTGTCAGACACAACAATGACGCGTATGAGACTTTTTTTTTTTTTTCTAGGGACACGTTGGGAACACATCAGGGACACCAACTAGTTTTTTTTTTTTCCTCTCCACTTCAATGATTTTGGTTGGATATTGAATATTTATTACTTTTTTCTTAGATTTAGATAATTAATAGATCAACCAAAAAAAACTTATTGTCATGTCCCTATTTTTTTGAAATCACCGTGTCCCGTGTCCATGTCCATGTCCATGTCTGCTCCGCATCCATGTACGTATCTATATCCATGTCTATGTCCATGTCCACATTCGTATCCGCGTCCGTGCTTCTTAGAATATATTTAACAAATATTTTTTCTACATAGTTGTAATATATGTGTTAAAATATGAATAAATATTAGAAATTAATATCAACTGCAAATTGTCATTATTAAGTATAAATAAATTTTATGTAAATACAAAGTACTAGAAGAGGTTTTCTTTTTTTCTTTTTTCTTTTTCTTTTTTTCTTTTTTTCTTTTTCTCTTTTGTCTTTGTGATTCTTATGTTGGAGAGGTTCTATTTTAGTTGGGAGCAAGTTTCTTCCTTGATGGAAAAAAGTTTCTTTCTTGGTAGTGCGGAATCGAGTTTTTGAATTAGAAATGGCACGCCAATAGGACTTTCCTGCTACTAAGATTCAAGTGCCTTGTCCCTGAGGGAGAGAGCTTGGCGAGAGCCAGAATAAACCTTAGCCTCCAAATCACAAGTCTTCTGATGGTTGGTCCTGAGCATGTGGTTCTTGGGCCCTTATCCCACCCAAGTAATCATGGAGTGTTTGTCCTTCAAGATGGAGATCAATCTCGATGGTGCCATTAATGAGCCAAAAAACCGAGGGAGCGCTCGATGGGGCTATCATGGAGTGCTTCGTGGAGTTGCCAACAAGCCAACCAACCAAGCGACTCAGGAAGGCCAAACGAGGCCAAACGAAGTGCTCAACTTAGTGATTGGTCCATATGTCCATCAGTCAGAGCTAGTAGGTGACACACGAGGCTTGCAAGGGAAGCCATGATGTGATGATATGGCACAACCAAGGCAAAGGGGTGCCACGTATCAGGGTGGACCCACATACCTACATTAAATAGTGAGTTGCATCAAATAGCACAATACCGTACAGATTCTATGTTTATGAGCAAAAACTTAATGACCTTACTGATATCATGTTCCGTTTTGTTTGGCAAGTGTAATGATGTCAAGTTATTATAGCAAGATAGAAAAATAGCATGCTCTTCGATTATTCTGATTGGTATATTATTGATGATGAAAATAAAGGATCTCAACTATCATCCATGCAGTGTAATAACTGACATGTTTTTTGGCACAGAGAGCTTCACTCATTCAGGAGTTCCCATCAAGAACAGCATTTAAGGTATACTAACTAACATAAATATGTGAGACACATAAAATACAGTAAATTTTACTGTATCATTGACATACAGGTAGAAGCATCTCTATTAATAGCTTGTACATGAAGATTTGAAGCCACTAAACAAGTAATGGCAAATATGAACTGAATACAACAGTAGAAACACATCAGTATGGAGCAGAAGTGTCGGTAAGAATCTCACCTTCAATCGCTTCAAGCTTTCATTTCTGGCTCTCTCTTTTTCCAGATTGACACATAATTCTGCTATTTCCTGCTCAGTCAGTGAATTCAAAAGTCAATATTCAGGTACTGCCAATTAGCAAAAGTTCAAAACATTCTGGATGACTTGGTATAGAAGCTTAAAAAAAAATACCTTCTTCAAATGCCTTCTTTCCCCTAAAAGCAAGATCTCCTCCTCTTTAAGTTCATCTAATGTCTGCAAACAGCCATACAAACAACACTACAATAATCAAACCAAAAGCAAGAAACAAATGGAAAGAGAGAGAGAGAGAAAGAAAAAAGAATAAAGACAAAAGGAAAAGAACAGAAATAATTAAGTCTGATCCCGAGCCTCGAATGTTCGGTCAAACCATCTTCCAAACAATGTTTTCCTTACAACAATTGGGTATTTGGCTGTATACTTCTATGTATATTTTCTGAAAAAAAAATATTTTCCCAACAACGTTGTAAAACGTACAAAACTGAGTATTGCATTTAGGACATCCGATCATTTGCAATCTAGCCATAGCCATGGACAAGGGTACTTTCATCAAGTTCAAAAAGATCAGAATTACCTTTTTCTTTCGTCCCCACCTCTTGTTGGTAGTTCCATTTTTACCACTAACCTGCACATATATCATACATTAGATTTCCAGTAATCATTGAGGTCATCAATTGTTTGGTAACTTGTGAAGTTTGGTAGCAACTTAATAGATAAAAAGACAAATATAATCAATAAAAGAATTTAAACTTGGGGTTATAACAATTCTGAGCATCAGAACTAGATTTGGCAAAAATTTGACCCCACCATGATCTTTGAGGCTATGTTTGGATCTTGAATTTGGGTAGAGATTTGTGTAGCAAAATAATAGGGAGGCAAATGTGAATGAAATATAAGCTAATTTTATTTCACATTTTCCTCCCCTGTGCTTTTTCCTTGGCAAAGCTTTACTCAAATAAATGATCCAAACACAATAGGAGAAAAGTAAAAATACATACTATCCATTTGTCATTACATATGTCCTACTATTTAATAAAGAAAGAATAGGATCCATCTAATCCCTCCTCACATATGCTTAACAAAAACTTGGGAATTAGACGGTATGAGAGAGAGAAACACACACGCAATCAAGGCATGCAATGTCTCTTAGTACAAACTAAAGTTGAAAGAGTAACCGTGAACCCAATCCCTAATATTTTAGTTGGCAAGTTAAAAAAAATGTTATGGCAATCATAGATTTGTCACCGATACAATGGTACAATAAAATATGAGAAGTGGAATCCATTAAACTGATACATTGGCGACACATTTGATATCCAAAACTTCATAACCAAATTTGGTCAATGTATCTTTTTGTTGTGGAAAGTTTGATTTGGTAAGACATGTCAGCATACAACATCAGTTTGGTGGAAAGAATGGTCCCCACATCCGGACCTAATCCAATTGACACAGTGTTGCACCTAAAGAACACTTTGCATATGACACTTTTCAACCCTTCTTATATTGTGTGAAACATTTTGTTTGACATGGAATTCTACTTTTCTTGGTGTGACCCACCACATAACATAACAAAATAAGCAAAGCAAATAGGCTGTCACCCAAATACAATAACAGCTCCAATCAAGACGTCTAATCCCTTTTCTTCCTTTTTTTTCCCTATACAGAGAAGCCAAAAAAGAAAATAGTGAATCCTCCCACTTTTGACCATGCCAAAGGATCCGTGTTTTCTTTAGTTTTTGAAATTTGTTTTTAAGTATTATTTTGTTAGTGATCTTTTTTCTCATTTTAATCATTTTGTGCCTAATCTAAATTTGTGAAATATATGAAGAAAAGAAATTACTAAATACAACCAAAAACACAAAAACTAAAAATTAAAACATAAATTTTGAGCTGGAAAACCAAACAAGATGAAACTTTTTATCACTTTACTACAGCATAAAATTCAAAATTAAAATAAAAAATAAAAGAAGACGAAGCTGTCATGCTATATATATATATACAAATGATCACATGGGAAAATAACTAGTTAGGATGTTCACGTGCCTTGTGTATGTGTGTACGGATGGGAGGACAATCACATACAGTTATATATATACTGATAATCTATTTAAATTTTTTAGTGCTCTATTTATTTTGTCAGATAATATTTTCTAAACAAAATAATTTCTGCATTTTTTTTAATGTCTAGTATGGTAAGAAACGAACGTTAATGAAAAAATATTTTTATAAATTAAAGTAAAATTGATTAGGAAAAAAACATTTTCTATTATTTAGTAGTAAAAAATATAAACTAACTAAAATTTTAACGATGGGACAGTCATTCTCACTGCCACCACCTAAAAACATTTTATGCAATTAAAAGAAGAGTTTTAAAACAAGAAAATTTAATTTTTATATCAAGAAAATTTTAAAAAATAAAATTGCAAGGTTGACGGTTTAAAAACTTTGTCAATTTTTATGGTTTTTAAAATATCTAGATATGTATCGATAATATTGTTATATGTTGTCTAATTACATATCGCTCAATACTTAAAATCTTTTAGTTTGGCATATAGCTAAAAAGTTCATTTTTTAAATAAATTTTTTTATTGTTAATATTTTTTTTAAAATTATATCAAAATATTTACTTTTTAAGTCCATCCAAATCTAAAAAGTAATAAACAAAAAAAATAGAAAAAATCCTAACAAAATTCACTAAAGACCAAAACAATTGAGAAAAAGTCAAAATTATCTTTAATGAATATTTTTTATATATCACTAAATTTTTTTATTGTTAATATTTTTTTTAAAATTATATCAAAACATTTTACTTTTCAGATCTGTCTAAATAAAAAACAAACAAGTAAAAAAAGTCCCAAAAAAACAGAACAAAAATGTCAATTATTTTTTACTCTTTTTTTTTTTTTGTTCTTTTTGAATTTTGTTCTAATTTTTTGCTTTTGCAGTCTGATCAAGTAAAACTAAAAAAAATGTAGAAAATAAATAAATTAAAAAATTTTACTAGATACAAAAAATTAAATATATCACTAAAAAACACAATCCCAAAACACCGACTATTAAACAGGCGAGACAACGGGGAATAATTTCCGTACCCAGTAGGAAGTGCAAACACAACCACTAACTACACTACACCAAACTTAAAAACGCACACCCCCTATTTATATTTTGCCAGAACAACACGCCACACATACTAATTACCCAAAATTAATATTCGGACCAAATTGCCCTCAAGAGTGCAAAGAGAGTTGACTCTACGAAATGACTATTTTCGTCATTTCACAAACCCCCAAGATCACAGATATACCGACCCCCGAAAAAGACATTATTGGGACATTCACTGCTTTCAACCCACACCAAAAAAAAAAAAAAACACGTAGATAAAATTTGTTTGACTAAATTACCCTTGGAGATAGGGGTGTTTTGGTCTTTTCCAACATAAGCATACCAAGAAGACTTACATCCATACAATAATGGAATAATGTTAAGGATCATAAAAAAAAAAAATCATAAAATGCATCATTAAAATTTTTCATCATTTAATTAGTATATACTATTTTATTATATATGTAATTTAAAAATAAAAAATATTTCATGATTATTTTATAATTTTTTTTTTTTTCCAGCATCTCCAGCAGCCTATGCATTTCACCAAAAATTGTACAATAGCCAGCCAATAATCATAAATTCCTTCTCCAGCAGCCTAGCTACTGTGAAGCCAAACCAACATTTTGCTACAGTACCTCGCTAGGAAAGACGAGGTACTGTGCACTAGCTCTGAATTTTTTTTATCCTTTTTTAATTCAAACTTTTGTTTTTAAGAATATTTTAATAGAAGATATTTAAATTATAATAATATTTTAACAAAAGATAGTTAAAGTAGATAGCCTGTTGGAGTGTATATTAAAAAACCAACTAGCTAAAATAGTAAAGTAAAATTTTGAATAGCTATTTTGACTATCATTGCTGGAGATGCTCTAAAGTCATCAGTTTTCTAGCTTTACAAAATTAAGGCCCCGTTTGGGAACAGGCTAATTTAGTAACTTTTTGGCTATTTGGCTAAAATATGAGCTAAAAAAAACTAGTATGTTTGGGATGACTTTTTGGGTTTTTACGAAAAGATGTGCAAAAAGTAGAGAGAAAAGAGAATCTTTGACTTTTTGGTATATGTTGTTGGCTTTTTGGCTAATTTAGTAACTTTTTGGCTTTTTGGCTAAAAAGTTCGGTTGCCAAACGAGGCCTAAATACATAAATAAAATGCTACATTACATTGATTTAGAAAAAAGACATAAAATAGTAGATTACATTGATTTAAAATAATAAAGAAAAAAATCAGAAAATTTAAAAATTTTGATATAAGTGCACTTACTTCAGTTGTAGTAAAGCTAATAAATTTGTTTGGTTTTGATTTTTAAAAAATAGTTTTTAGAAAATTTTATTTTTATTTTTCGTATTTTAATGTTTTTAATAATTTTTTAAAATATTTAAATAGTTTTTTTAATTTTTAGACACAACTAACATAAATACACTTAAATATTATAATATTTGTAAAAAAAATCTTTAAAAAATACACTAAATATCAAAAAAATATTTAAAAAAAACGAAAATTCAATACATTTTTCGTATTTTTTGTGTATTTATTAATTTTTTAAAATATTTTTTCACAAATATTTTACTATTTAAATACATCTAAAGAAATAAAAAAATAACTTAAATTTAAAAAATATTCAAAAAAAAAACAAAAAACATAATTTTCAAAAAATTAAAATCAAACCTACTAAATACAAATGTTGTGATGACACAAAAACAAACAACACAATGCATCTTGGGTAAAAGATAGGATGATATTCGCCTTGCTTCATTCCACTTTTCAAAAAATATTTTTCAAAAAATTTTACTTTCTGATTTTTTGTATTTTTTTTGTTTTACTGAATTTTTTTTAATATTTTAAGTAATTTTTTTACTTTTTAGACGTACCTAACAGAAATACACCTAAAAAGTAAAAAAATTGTAAAAAAAATCTTTTAAAAATTCACTAAATACCAAAAATACAAAAAAATATAATAATTCAGTACCCTTTTTGTATTTTTATGTATTTATTAATTTTTTTAAATATTTTTTCACAAATTTTTTACTTTTTAGATACATCTAAGTAAAGTGCATCTAAAAAAGTAAAAAAAGAAAATGTTTAAAATTTAAAAAATATTCACTAAAAACAAAAAAAATACGAAAATAAAAAAAGTCAATTTTTAAAAAACTTAATCCAAAAAACTCAATTCAAACACACTGATTATTTTTTTGTTCGTATACCTAATAAATTATTAATGAAAATGAGTTAAGTGTATCAAAAATAAATTTAATATAATTATGTTAAAATTATAAAGTTTATTACATTTTCTGTAAATTTTGGCGACGGTCTGTAAAATTTATCTTAAATTAAAAAAAAAATTAAAAAGTAAATATCAAAGGCAATTTTAGTGATTAAAATAGGAAGTAGTAAGAGAACCGACGGTCCGACAATCGGAGAAAAACCGCCGATCGGATCGGTATAAAATGACAGTACTGCCCCTAAAAATTCACGACACGTAGACATGCAGAGAGGGTATTATCGTCACATCCTCAACGACTAAAACGGTGGTGGCAGGTACGGAAAAAACAAGTTTCGTCTGACTTCCCCCGGACTCGTCCCAGTAAATAACCACACTATTCGGGGGCGTTTTCGGAAACATAAAAAAAAACACGAATGACACAGCGAAACGAATAACAACAACACATACACCAGGCCGGCGTCGACCGGCAAATCGAGCTCCGGCGAAGGGAGAAGAAACAAACCTTAGATCTCGTGGCGTCGGGACGATTCAGAGGGAGTTGGCTGGACTCCTCAGAACCGTCGGCGGCGGCGGCGGCCGCGACACCGCTGACGGAGGTGGCGCCACTCCAGGAGAGCGGTGTGGAGGGGCTGGCTCGCGGAATCAGCTTTTTGTTGAGCATCATCGGTCTGGAGCGGGGTTGCCTGACGCTCCACTTGAACGGTAAAGCCGATGGTGGTGGTGGAGGAGGAGGAGGCGGTTTGGCGCGGCGGAGACGAACCAGAAGCTCCGCCGCCATGGATTCGTCGGACATGGCCGCTCCCACCCAATCCTCATCGTTATCACTCATCTTTTTTTTCTAGAGAGAGAAGAGGGGGGGGGGGGGGCAAGGAAAAATCTGAATGAGAGTGAGAAAAAAATAAAAAGGGTGTGATGTGAGGGGGTTATATATGTGGGGGTGTGAAGAAGGGGGAGGAAGGAGTAGATGCCAATTGACAACCCCTTCTATTTTTGTTGTTTATGGACTCATCCTCTCGTCTCTCTCTCTCTCTCTCTCTCTATCCCTCTCTCCCATCTCTTTCTCTCTCTCTATCTCTCTTTTTCAATAGATTAATCTACAGTTTAAATAAATTCTGCTTATGATTGTATGGCAAAGATTAAAAAGCAGAGTCACATCCACATAATTTTCTGTCAAGATTGTGCATTTGAACGGAATAAATTATGTAAATAAATCATTAATTAAGATTAAATTTGTGTTTGTAGGGGTTGAGGTTTATTTTAAGAAGATGGTTAAAAATTAGTTATTTTAATTTTTTTTGAAAAAATATGAAATATAAAAAATAATATGATTTAAAATAAATTAAAAGTTGATTTTTGACTTTTTTTTTTTTTTTTTAGTTGTTCTCAAAAGAATCCTCAATTATCAAATGAATTTTAATTATTGATTAATGAGAAATGTTAAAAACTTATAATTTAAATTCTTAAATTCACTTATAATAATATGATAAGATAATAGGGTCTTATACAATTAATTTATCACAAATTAAAATTTAACACTAATTATATTATATTATTTTATTTTATGAATATAATTAAAAGAGGCCTATTAGGAGTTTCAAATATTTTGAAGGAAAATGAGTAAAGAGCACTAATTAGTGTCAGTGTTGTTGTGTCTGTTTTTTTTTTAAAAAAAAAGTAAAATATCACATCATTAATGGTTGTTTTAGAACACCACTTTTAGTGATCTCTATCATCGACCTATTTTGAATGATAAAATTTTTGAGATTGTAATACTAGAGTTCCGTAGCTTTCTCTCTATCTATAAAATGTGTGGACTCACTGTCTGAAACGTGGCAATGACCTACCTGCTTTGCTTGCCTGTAGGAATGGCAACGGGTCGAGGTGGGGCGAGGCCAGGGATCACCTTCCTCATCCCCGATCCCCGATGGTCAAATTTCCCCCGACCCCGATCCCCGACGGGGAACGTATCACCGCTCCCACTCCTGACCCCTAACGGGGATCGGTTTCCCCGACCCCGAACATTCCTCGGCTGAAAAAAAAAACAAAAAAAATTGCAAAAAATACAACCATTCATCATCATCAACTAAACAGATTCAAACACCACAGATCTACAATCATCATCATCCATTAAACAGATTCAAACAACACAGATCTAGAATCATCATCATCCATTAAACAGATTCAAACAACACAGATCTAGAAAATAAGATCGGAGATGGAGAGACTTGAGATCGACGATGGAGAAAATGAGATCAGCGGTTTTTGTCCTAAGTCGATGTCGTCATCTGTAGATCGGAGTCTGGACCAACGGTGGTGGTGGTGTTGATGACTGGTGTGCGATCAACGGCTGAAGAGGAGAGATGAGAGAGCAAACGAGGTGTGAGAGAGAGAGTGGTGGTGGTGTCGCCGTGTCGGTGATTGAGAGTGAGAGAGAGAAGAGTCGGTGACTGTGTTGCCGTGCCGGTGAGAGTGAGAGAGAGAAGAACAAGAGAGTGAGAGAGACGAAAGAGTTGAGAGAGTGAGAGAGACGAGAGAATTGAGAGAGTTAGAGAGTGAGAGAGAGAATGAGAGTTGAGAGAGTGAGTCAATGAGAGAGTTGAGAGAGTCAAAGAATAAGCGAGATATATATATATATATATATATATAATATACAACTAAACACACACAGGCGGGGATTTTTCGGGGAAATTTCGGGGGAATTTCGGGGCGGGACCGGGACCGAAGAACCTATCACCGTCCCTGGCCCGAAAATCATCGGGAATGTATTTTTCAATACCAGCCTCGACCTTATTGAGAATAATTTTTAAAAAAAATCCTATTTATCAGGACTGGACGGTCCGAGTTCCCGTCAGACTGAGTTCATATTGCCATCCCTCCTTGCCTGCGGCCTCTCTTGTTTTTGGGCCATTGGCATTTCTGCTTCTTCTTCGCGGGTTCTTCAGAGGTCTCTGAAAGTCTGGGAGCGTACATGTCACGCAATTTTGTAGCGAGTGGAGAGGTTGGATATTGGGAGGGGTGAAGAAAATCACTTAAGTATTTATTATTTGCATACATGGGGTGATGCTGTCTGTTGGGGGTGTGATGTCTGTCGTCTCTTCTGTGGGGAGCTGGGGATACTGGTGTGATTTTGGTTCAATTCGTGCAATTCAAACCAATAAGACTACCTCCAATTTTTCAAAGAAAAAAAAAAATCAAAATTTAAAAAATTATCTTAAATTTTTTCATCAAATGTTTTTTAAATTAAATAATTTTTTTTTATCAAATTAATAACTCATTAAATCTTTTATCAAATTTTAATTTGATAAAAATTTAAAATGATAAAGCATTGGAGATGGTTGTTTTTCATTAAATTTGATGAAAAGAGAAGTTTGGAATCAAAAGAGAATTTTAAAAAAGATTTTGTTGTAAATTTGATAAAAATATTAGAATAATTCATATCAAATTAAACTTGTTACTCAAATTTGAAATCAAATAAGTTAAAAAAAGGGCAAATTACATATACACCCCTCGAGGTTTGATTAAATTACAGATACCCCCCTGAGGTTTCGGAAATTACATCCCGCCCCCTGAGGTTTGTATTTTCATAACAATTTACCCCTTGAGGTTTATATTTCATAACAAATTACCCCCTAATTTCTTATGCAAATATAGCATTCAGGGGGGAATTCGTAATTTCTCAAACCTCAGGGGGGTATTTGTAATTTAGTCAAACCTCGAGGGGTGTATATGTAATTTGCACTTAAAAGAATTAGTGAAGGATTGATGATGGTCTAAGGTGTTTGATATTAAGTTAAAAAAAGTTATACTTATGTATTTTTTTAAAAATTATGTTAATTTTTTTATTTTTTAAATTCGTCTTGCATAAATAAATTTTAAACTAAAAAAATTAGAAAAATTCACCGTAGATTAAAAAAAAAAGAAAAGAAAAAATCAATTATTTTTTGGCTTTTTTTAGTCATTTCTAGACTTTTTTTTTTAATTTTTAAATTTTGCGGTTCGTTTAATCCAGTGGAACGTTAACGTGCAATTTTTTTTTTTTAAATTACTAAATATTATGAAGGAAAAAAAAAAAAAAACCACTCAACAAGTTAACGCCAAACACCCACTTTGCACTTTTTTAAAACTTGGGTAACAGTATTTTAAATTCGGTGCAAGCTTAAGTAACACAAAACTCAAATTGTATATATATATATATCAATAAATAATATTATATATAAATTATTTGTTATTGAATGATGCTAAAATTATTTAGAGGGCATGTTATTGAATGATATGAATATTAGTGTGAAATTATTAGATTGGATAGGTAAAATAAAAGAAAATGTTTAAAACTTTTAAAATGTCTCTTTTAATTTAACCTATAAGAAAATGACATGTTATATGTCAATTTTAAATTTGTTACAAAATCAACTCAATCATATAATGCGTAACGCCCCTACCAATTTGGAATTTAAATTCTTGATTTATAAATTTTTTGTAAAATATATTGCGTTTAGTTTGTGAACATTATGTTAATTTAGTTCGTTGATATTAAATCACTAAAATTACGTTAAATCCCTTGTTATATAAAAATATGGATTTGTTGTTTTCATAAAGGTAAGGTAAATGATTTTAAAAAACAGTTGCAATCTTTATATAATGTCATTATATAATACTTTTGATGATTATTATCACTGACTACAGTTGTTATAGAATTGTAAAATTACTTTTTAGATTCATTTATACAAGAGAGTACTGAAAAATTAAAATTTTTTGGATATAATTCAAATAAAAAAAAGTTATTAAATTTCTTTTAAAAAAATGTGATTTATTTCTTGACTTCCCAAACAGCCACGAATTTGATTGAAAAAACAAGCGTTACATACAGACCTCCCCCCTCTCTCTTTCTCTCTCTCTCTTCAATACGTATCTCTCCTGTAATTTTTATTATATGAAAAATGCTATAGATCTCAAGTAAATTATCAAATAAAGTACTAAATCTCTCAAATATGTATGTGACCCACACACATGTGATTTGTGTGAATCCCACTCATGTGAGATTTGATAATTTGTTTGAAATTCATAACATAGCTCTTATTATATTATTGATTCTATTTCTTGTTTGCCTTTTGTCTTTCCTTCTTCAACCTTTCACTAGGAGAGATATACATACCCAGATGAAATTCAACACAGATTTCAGGTTTCTAGGACAGAAAATGTATACCCAAATGGAGATTTCTTCTCTGAAGACAGTGACAACTTGGTAGCAACAGAAGCCAATCGAAATCCTCGTCTTTTTATTTTTTTATTTTGAAGTTTTGGGGTTCTTGGGGTGTGTGTACTCAACCAAAAGGTTTTCTTAAAGCAAAATGAGTGAGAGTACTAATTAGTGCTATCACTAATGATGTGGCAGTGAGCCCCACCATGAATGATTTGATGTTTTGGCCTTGATGTTGTATTTTTTTTTTTATTGAGTGTCATGTCATTGATGATCTTTTTAAAACTCTAAAATTAGTGATCTCTATCATTGTTGTTTCTTAAAACAACGATTTGTGTCATTAAACACTTCAATACAAAACCAATGAAGTAAAAATCGATGGCATGGGTAAAGAACACTCTGTCCGGCCTTGTCTTCAATTTTGTTTTGTTTTCATTGTGCTTTTGCTTCCTTTCTTCCAAGGAATCTTAACAATCTCAATCTCATCTCATATGATATATGTTCGTATATATGTACTAGCCGCGTCTAATTTTGTTGATCTACTTACTATTCTATTCTATTTTAGAATGTTCTAAAATAATAATTCTATTTAAAAGGTCAAAATAAATAGGAATATTTATCAATAAATCCTATTTCACAAACAGTTTTATCGATTGGTTCTAAAGTTATTTTTATTGTTCTGATTAGTCCTATTAGTGGGGAAATATCTTACCAGTTGATCCTATTTCCTTTATTTGGTAACATTGAGTGGTCAATTATACCATTCCGTGTGTGTCATGTGACATACATCATTCCAAGGCAAAAAAACATAAAGAGCCTTAGTGCACTTTGTTGATGTGT